TATGACGATGAGTAGGCTGATGGCGCGGGTGATGGTGGAGATGATGCTGCCGAACCAGGCGGTGAAGGTGGTGATGGCGTAGGCGGAGATGATGTAGTGTGATACTCTTGTACTTAGTTTTTTTATCTCTTCTTTCTTCTTTTTTTGTGGGGGCGTCTTTCTTGCCCTTTGTAAGATATTCTTTTTTGGAATGAAATGATTATGACTTTTTGCCGTATGTTCCTGGCCCCTTTTACTTTTCTTCGAATGTTTTTTTTTTCGTGAGAGTTGTGTTGATACATGCTATTTCAAACATGGTCGAGTATATCTTTTGTTGCATTTTGTTAAGTCGAATGTTAATTGATTCGAACGAAGTCGAATGTTAATTAATTCGAACGAGTCGAGGTCAAATGTTAATTGATTCGAACGAAGTCGAATGTTACTTAATTCCAACAAGGTCGAATGTGAGTTGATTTGAGCAAGTCGAATGCGAGTTAATTCGAACAAAGTCGAATGTTAATTGATTTGAACAAAGTTGAATGTTAGTTAATTTGAGCGAGGTCGAATGCAAGTTAATTCGAGCGAGGTTGAATGCGAGTTAATTGGAATGAGGTCAAATGTTAATTGATTCGAACAAAGTCGAATGTTAGTTAATTCGAACGAGGTCGAATGTGAGTCGATTCGGGCGAGGTCGAATGTGAGTTTATTCGATTGAGGTCGAATGTTAATTGATTCGAACGAAGTCAAATGTTAGTTAATTCGAACGAGGTCGAATGTGAGTCTATTCGAGGGAGGTCGAATGCGAGTTAATTCGAAAAAGGTCGAATATTAGTCGAAGCGAGGTCGAATGCAAGTTAATTCGAATGAGGTACGATATTAATTGATTCGAACGAAGTCGAATGTTAATTAGTTCGAACGAAGTCGAATGTTAGTTGATTCGAGCAAGGTCGAATGTTAATTTTGAGATTGGCGTAATGTATAAACTTGGTAGAGAAATAGGGAACTCGTGTGTTTGCGTATTTCGCTTTGTTTATACATTCATTGGAGAAGTTTACATGTTTTTGCTCTGTTCATGCATACATTGGAGAAGTTTACATGTTTTTGCTCTGTTCATGCATACATTGGAGAAGTCCCAGTCTATCTAGTCCCTTCATTAGTCGACCTGGAGAAGTAGTTGAGAGGTCGAGCGATGAACTTATACTTAACTTCGAGATGCCCTCTTCGTCGCCTCGTTAAAAACCTCCTCGAGAAACCCAACTGGGACAACACTCTGGTGAGGGAAAAAAGTATGGCTCGGGAGACGTCTATCCTTAGAAGTTGAAGTTTTTGAGGTGGGCGACGTTCCAATTGTTTGGTAGTAGTTTTCCCTCCATTGTTTCTAGCTGGAACGACCCTTTGCTTACTGCCGCCGTGATTTTGTATGGGCCGTCCCAATTAGTTCCCAGTTTGCCTTCCCGTGGATCCTTGATTGCTTGTATTTTTGGCTTTGAGTACATATTCCCTGACTTTGAGTGGCCTGACCTTGGCTTTTTTATTGTAGTACCGCTCTGCTTGCTGTTTTTGGGCTACCATTCTTATGTAGGTCATGTCTCTTCGCTATTCGGCCTCGTTGAGGTCTTGCCTTCTGTTTTCATCGTTGCTTTGCCGCTCTCATTTGAATACCTCAGACTTGGTTCACCGACTTTGACCGGTATTATTGCATCAGTCCCATAGACTAATGAATATGGTGTTTCTCTTGTGCTTGTTTTCGGCGTTGTGCAGTATGCCCATAGCACTTCCGGCTGCAATTTCGGCCATAGTCCCTTGGCGTTCTCGAGCTTCTTTTTCATGATGTTCAATATAGATTTGTTAGAGGACTTCGCCTGACCGTTGCCCGCAGGATGATATGGAGTGGAGAGTATTCTTTTGATGTGCCATTTTTCAAAGAACTCGGCGGTCTTTTTCCTAGTGAACTGGGGCCCGTTGTCACAGCTGATTTCTTTGGGGATGTCGAAGAGGCATATGATATTTCTCCATATGAATGTGATCACTTCTTGCTCGCGTATTTGGGCGAATGCACCTGCTTCTACCCACTTGGAATAATAGTCAGTTAAAACTAAGAGAAATCGTACATTACCTCGTCCAGCTGGGAGGGATCTGACGATGTCCATTCCCCATTTGATGAAATTCCAGGGCGAGGTGACTGAGTGGAGGTGCTCGCCCGCTTGGTGAATCATGGGGTCATATCTTTGGCATTGCTCGCACTTTCTGACGAAGTCAACGACCTCCTTTTTCTTCGTGGGCCAATAGTAGCCTGCTCGTATGAGGCATCTGACGAGAGTTCGATTGCCGGTATGAGCTCCATAGTGTCCTTCGTGCACTTCTTCGAGGACGCGCGACTTTTGATTTGGTCCTAAGCACTTTGCTAGGGGGCCGCCAAACTTTCTTTTGTACAAGTCGATATTGACAACGTTCTACCTGGCCGCTTGCATTCGAAGCTTCTTGGATTCTTTTTTATCTAGTGGGAGCACCCCGTCCTGCAAATATGAGATAATACGATTGCGCCTGTCCCAAGTCAGGTTTATAGTTCGTACCTCGATTTGATCGATCGGTGAATAGAGGAGAGTAACCACGTCCCCCTCTCCGGCTATGCTTTTGGTGGTCGCTGCCAATTTAGCGAGGCCGTCCGCTTTGATGTTCTGTGCTCGAGGTATTTGATCAAGCTGGCATTCGTCGAACTCAGGTAATAGTTTGCAAATTTCGGCCTAGTATTTCTGTAGCCGTTGCTCCTTATTTGGAAAGTCCTTGTAACTTGGTTGAGTTGTGAGTCGCATCGCGGGACTACTCGCCGTGCTCCGTACTTGAGTGCCAATTTTAACCCTGCAATCACAGCCTCATACTTGGCCTCATTGTTAGTCATATCAGGGCATCGTATGGACTAGCGAACTATCTCGCCTGTTAGGACCTCGTGCACGAGTCCCAGTCCAGATCCTGCCATCGGTGTACAGGACCCATTGGTCATGTATTTTGGCAAAAGTATTGGCGGTTTCTCTTTCAACTTCGGGCATTATCTTTGCACTGAAGTCGGCGACGAAGTCGGCAAGAACTTGCGACTTTATCACCGTTCGCGGCTGATAGGTTATATCGTGTTCGCTCAGCTCTATGGACCACTTGGCCAATCTGCTCGACAGTTCGGATTTGTGTAGGATACTCTTTAGAGGAAAAGTCGTGACCACCGAGATAGGGTGGCACTGGAAATAAGGTCTAAGCTTTCGTGAAGCTATGACCAAGGCCAGAGGTAGCTTCTCGAGGTGGGGGTACCTCGTTTCAGCGTCGACCAAAGTTTTGCTAATGTAGTAAATTGGAGACTGCATACCTCTATTTTCTCATACCAGAACTGCACTTACTGCGACATCAGACACGGCTAGGTAGACAAGGAAACGCTCCCCGGGCTCTACTTTAGCGAGCAACCGTGGCGAAGACAGGTAAGCCTTTACTTCTTTTAAGGCATCGACGCACTCGGAATTCCATTGGAGTCCGTTATGTTTTTGAATACGCCGAAAAATTTGTGGCACCTATCGGAGGACCGCGAGATGAACCTCGACAGGGCGGCTATCCGGGCGGTCAACTTTTGCACTTGTTTCTTGCTGGTTAAATTTTCTGTGATTCCTTCTATGGCCTTGATTTGGTCGGGATTGACCTTGATGCCTCGTTTTGATACTAAGAAGCTGAGGAACTTTCCAGAGGTTACACTGAAGGTGCATTTTTCGGGGTTCAATTTCATGTCGTACCATCTGAGTATGTCGAAGGCTTCCCTCAAGTGGTCGATATGGTCTTCCTTTCTTTTTGATTTGACCAACATGTCGTCTATATATACTTCTATAATCTTGCCGAGTTGATCTTTGAACATTTTGATTACTAGCCTCTAGTATGTTGCTCGTGCATTTTTCAACCCGAACGGCATCACCCTGTAGCAGTATGTCCCTTGGTGGGTGATGAAAGTGGTTTTTTCCTGGTCCTCCTCTTCCATGAGGATTTGATTGTAGCCCGAGTAGGCGTCTAAGAAGCTCAGCAGTTCGTGCCTGGCTGTAGCGTCGATGAGTTGGTCGATATGGGGCAGCGGGAACAAGTCTTTTAGGCAGGCTTTGTTTAGATCTGTTAAGTCTACACACATCCTCCACTTTCCGTTCTTATTTTTCACCATGACCACATTGGCGCACTGAGGGTACTTCGATTCTTTGATAGAACCGTTCACTAACAATTTTTTGACCTCTTCGCGAACTGCGTCATTTATTGCAGCGTTGAACTTTCGTCTAATTTGCCTTACTGGGGGGGGGGGGTAAAACGGGTCGACGTTCAACTTGTGAGTTGCTATCTCCTTCAGGATACCTGGCATATATGCATGGGAAAAAGCAAACAGTTCTACGTTACTTTTTAAGAATTGGCAAAATTTACCTAGATCTTGGAGCTTATGGCCGATGAAAGCTTTCTTGTGGTGGTCGTCGTCTAGTTGGATGGGGTCGAGGTCCTCTACGGTTGACCCAGTAGCTTCTATGATTTTGGGGTCTCTGATGACGTCTCTCCTTTCATCGCCATCTGACCCCGACTTTGTTAATTGCTATGCCTCCTCGACCTTTCCTTTTAATTGTTGGGTGTATGTGCAATCTTGGGCGATGCGGTAGCATTCTCGGGCCGTGCGTTGTTCTCCTCGGATGCAAAATACTCCACGCGGGGTGGGAAATTTAATAACTTGATATAAGCCTGCTTGAATACCAGAAAAATAAATGGATTCGACATTTGATCTTTTCGCTGAGATAAAGGCATAAAAATAAGAAAGAATATATAGAATTAGAATCGATTTTTTAGCATTTAACCCCCTTTTATGTTATGGATTTCATTGTTCAAAAAATGATTTGTAGAGAAGAGAGAGATTTTGTTTACGGATTTTTGAGTAGAATACGATTGTGAAGTGTATAAGAAAAGAAGGTTTGTATGGCTTAACCACGTGTGGAGATATCTATAATATCCGTCTTTCTTCTCTTTTACTGTTTTATTGTCGTTCTCTGTTCTATTCGGGGCAAGGGGACGGCTTTCATGGCGTGTATCCATGGTCGGCCTATGATGGGGTTGTACGACGTGTCCTGGTCCATGATGTGGAACGTGGTCACCAAAGTGATGCCGCCGGCCCGGATGGGCAGTGTGATTTCTCCAGATGTCCGCTCAATTGCATTTTTAAAGCCTGTTAGCGTGATGCAACGCGGCACTATCTTGTCCTCGAGCTTCATTTGGGTGAGAACTCGAGGATGGATGATGCACGCGCTGCTTCCAACATCGACCATAATTTGTTTCACATCACTATCGAAGACACATAAAGTAATGACAAGAGCGTCATAGTGAGGAAGGACCAAACCGTGGGTATCTGACTTATCGAAGATGATACTTTCTTCGAGTTCATCGTACCGTTCGTGGGTGATAGACTGTTTGAGTTTGCGGGAGGTAATGAAGTTCACGTTGTTGATAGATGCGTTGTCGCCTCCTCCGATGATCAGTTGAATGGTCCGAACTGCGGAAGGTGGTTTGGGCGGTCGCTGGTGTCGTTCTCGCCTTCGGGCGAAGTTGGCCCTCCCACGATCGCTCATCAGCTCTTTCAAGTGCCCTTGGTGAAGCATGTTCACGAACTCCTGTCTTAGGGCGATGCAGTCATCGGTTTTATGACCCCGTTCCTGGTGGAACTCGCAGAGGGCATTTGACTTTCTGGTGCTCGGGTCAGATCTCATCTTCTGCGGCCATTTCACTTTTGGGCCGAGCTTCTCCAGTGCATAGACTATTTCGAAGGGGGAAACATAGAAATTGTGAGAAAATAATAAAGGGGGCATACCTCTTTCATTTTGGTGGATTCCCGTTCGTGGCCTGGATGGACCTTCATCGTGGCGTGGGGGTTGCACGAGGGTGCCTCTCACATAAGGCTGATGTATCTCTTGATTAGGTCGTGATCCCGCTAGATGTTTCCTGTTTTTGTTTATCCGATCTTTCCTAGACTCCATTTGGATCGAGGTCAAACATTGGGTAGGTTTGTTGAGATCATCCTCGTCGGCTCTTACCTCGGCACAATAGGCGTTGTGTATCTCGTCCCAAATGGTTGGAGGATATTTCATGAGTCAGCTTAGCAACTTTTTGCTTGCCCTCGACCCATTTCTGCTTAGCCCATTTTAGAAAGCGGCTACCGCCATCCCCTCATATAAATTTGGAAGGGTCATCCTTACACGGTTGAACCGGGCGAGGAAGTCCTTGAGTCCTCGCTAGGCGATTGCTTAATGGCGAATATGCCGTTCACCCTTGCCTCTGCTTCCTTGGCCCCGGCATGGGGCGATGACGAACTTGTCTGCCATTTCTTCGAACGTTTCTATGGAAAGTATAGGTAATTGTGAGTACCAAGTCAATGCTCCCCCGGTTAGGGTTTTTCCAAACTTTTTCAGCAATATCGACGACACTTGTTCCTTTGCGAGGTCATTGCCTTTTACTGTAGTGATGTAGTGAGTCACGTGATCCTCTGGGTCTGTCATGCCGTTGTATATTTTTAAATACGGCGGCATTTTGAAGGTCTTTGGTATGGCGTGCGGTGCAGCCTCGTCGCTATATGGTTGCTCAACGAAACAACCGGCGTCTCTTTTTGGCAGAAGTTTAGGGGCGCCTGGTATTTTATCTACCCTTTCTTGGTGCTCTTTCATATGGATACGAAGCATTTTATTCTCGTTCTCTATCTCCTCTATTTTCTCAAAATGGCTGTGAGAGTGCCATTACCTGCATTACTAACATGGTGAGTAATACCTGTTGTGGCGCGCGCGCGGAAGGAGGGGGTGTGTGTGATGTTCGTCAGCTGTTGATGTGCACCAGCCCTTGTGTCTTCCCTACTCGACCTCCGAGCGGGCTTGTCGACGAAGCCGGTTAGTGTGTTTGTCAACCAAGCCTCAAGTAACCTTTTCACTGCTGGTGGAGCCGCTTCTATCGTGGAGGTAGAGGCACCCTTACCGTGCGATGTCGTTACGCTATCGAGAGGTGGAGGCGAGCTGTTTCACTTGGGAGAGGTGTTTGGAGTTATGTCTTCGCCCTCCGCTTCATCCACTTCGTTAATAGAGTCGAAGAGATTGGCGGTGAGGTCGGCTATCGCCTTTCTCTTTTCCTCTCCGTTGCGTGCCATGTCAGATTTGTGCAAACAAGGAAATACAGGATTTTGCAAACTTTTGTACGTTTTTTTTAGATCTAGAAGAAACTAAAATTTTAACTAGAAAATCCCCACAGTCGATGCCAAATTATTTGACCAAAAAGTATTAAGCTTTTTTGTTAAACTAATCAAATAAGATGACAATGGGCAAATCCTAGCTAAATATAATAAATCCTGGATCTGAGATTGATAGGCGTCAATAGTGTAAAATTGCATTCGAGGCTATTAAATATCAAGGGAGTGTTTAGTGATATTGTTATGAATGTATGAGGGAATAATGACAAGCAATAAATATGATAAATGGTAATAAGTGTAAATAGAGGAATGATTCACCCAAATATTCAATGAGGTGGATGATTCTCTCTATGACAATGATGTAAGGCAATCAAACGTGGGAATATAGAAAGCGTTCCCGGATCTGATATGAGAAAGTTTGGGACCAACAACAAATCGAATCTTTTGCAAAGACAATTTTTGTATTTATTTCAGAGTCAACTTTTCAAGAGAGAGCTTATCATACAGAATAACATGCCTCCTTCTTCTCTCTCTGTTCCTACTTATATGGGAGATATCCCTTACCTAACTGAAAGTACAAGTGCAGAGAATATCTGTGGAATATTTCTTTAAAATATTTTATTATTAAACTAACTGTTTGGGCCGATCTGAGTGCTCAACCTCAACCCTAGCTACTCAGCTCGCCAACATGTTACTTCTTAAGCATGACCTCGGCCTAATCAACTCTTAGTCATCCTCTCTTAGACAAGATTCCTTTGATCGGATTTTGACCCATACAATTAGTAGGTTGGAATATGTAATCCTATGTAATCTTTTCAAATAAGAGAGAATACAAATACAAAAAATTTAGTCACATATACTAAGCAATTATATTTTTCATTGTTAAATATATAAGATAAGATATAATCAAATAATTATTACATTTAAAAAAAATTTGTTCTGATGTTACGTAATTGACAAACTAAAGAATAAATTGTGTAGCGTGAAGCATTCGTGAGAACCGGAATGTAAGAGACAAACAGCCATGCGCATAGAAGTGTACATTGGGAGCAAGGGCGGGTCTGCCCCTATAGGAAGGGATGGCATGGCACCCACTAAGATAACAAAAAATTTAGGCCAAATATATATACAACCCATTCAACTTGAATCCATTTTTCATTTTGGCACTCTATATCCACCTTGTTCCATTTTGGCCCTCCAACTCTATTTTTTATGTTCTATTTTGGCCCTCCAACTCTATTTCTTATGTTCCACTTTAACACAAAAGCTGAAACCAGCGCAAAATATATAGCGTGTGTATATACACAAATATGAGGTATAATAAATATTCAATTAAATGTTGCCACTGGTTTCATCCATGTCAAACGGGTCAATACTAAAATACCCGAACCGGCCGTATTTTTTCATCTACTGTTGTCCCATCTTCATTCTCAAAGTTCCAAAGCTTTCACCTGCCGATTTCATACCTGGCCATCCAGAAAATTTCAAACTTCAATTTTATTGTTCTTTTAATTATTCTGATTTTTTTTTTGTGGGTTTATTTCATCTAAGCATTAAGTTTGAAGTGAATCCATGTCTCAAAGAAAATTATTTTTTCATAATGGAATGGATATTTGTTCTTGTGGATTTCAAGTTGAACTGAAAGTATCATGGACACCAAGAAATTCACGTCGACGCTTTAATGGGTGTAAATTTTAAAAAGTAAGTAAACTATTTTCGGATTTCATTTTCAGCGGAGTCATTTTCTTGTGTAAATAAGAAGCAAACTTAATTTTACCCAAATACGGTCGGGTTTAGGTATTTTAGTATTGACCCGTTTGACATGGATAAGAAAATTAGGTGGCCACATTTAATTGGATATTTATTACACCTCAAATATTTTATACACACGCGCTATATTTTTTGCACTGGTTTCAACTTTTGTGTTAAAGTGGAACATAAAAAATAGAGTTGGAGGGCCAAAATGAAACAAGGTTGAGATAAAGTGTCAAAATAAAAAATGGTGCCAAGTTGAATGGGTTGTATATGTATTTGGCTAAAAATTTATATATTTATGTTGAAATTTTCATAAACTAAGTTAAATATCTGATCGTGCCAACCGCAATTGTAACCCGGACAAAGGTGCCATGTTTCGAAGACCTTTTTGAAATTTATCTTGAACCTTGTCCGACTTTCCCTTTTCTTTGTGCTTTTTGTTTCCTTTTGTCCCGGTCATTTTCCTTTTTGGCTGCCTCCCAATTTTCTATATGTGGTTTTATTATTTTTTTATATATCTCTTTTCTCTATTCTATTATTTTATATGTGGTCTTGTCACGGCCCAAATCCCACACCCCGCCGTGATGGTGCCTCTCGTGAAGACAAGGCCAGCCAGAACAATGCCAACACCTCTTTTAAGCAGTTAATTACCATTAAACAATTCTAAAGCATAATTTAATAACAATAATCCGCGGAAGTATAGAATATAACAGTAGAAACCATCCCGACACAACCCAAACCGGGGTGTCACAAGTCATGAGCTACTACAGAATTTCTATAAGTCTACAAACAGAATATCTGATACAGAAGTCTGGAATAACTGAAATAACATGAAATAGAGGAGTCAAGGGGGCTGCGGACGCCAACAGCTACCTCGAAGCTCCGAACTCGCTGCCTGATCTGGACAAGGATATCAGTGCTCAGGAACGGACTCTGCTATGCCTGAATCTGCACACATGGTGCAGGGAGTAATGTGAGTACTCCGTCCCAGTGAGTAATAATAATAAATAATAGCTGAAGATAAGAAAACACATAACAGCACAAGGCAGTTCTATATCAGGCAGTAAATCACTTAAAGCAGTAAAATCCATGAAATCATGTGAAATCTCCGTTTTAAAACAGGTAAATCAGGTAAAACAGCTAATAGGTGATAAATAGTAAAACTGCCCCTCGGGCCCAGTATCAACCGCTTAGTACAGTAACTCAGATTACTCTCAGAATAGTATCATATAATAACCGCTGCGGCGTGCAGTCCGATCCATATCTCGCTACGGCGTGCAGTCCGATCCATATCTCGCTGCGGCGTGCAGCCCGATCCATATGGGTACCCGCGCTCACTGTGTGGGTGCAGACTCCGGAGGGGCTCCTACAGCCCAAGCGCAATACTGCTGCGGCGCGCAGCCTGATCCACATAAACATTTGTTGCGGCGTGCAGCCCGATCCATATGAGTATTTGCTGCGGCGTGCAGCCCGATCCATAATATGTATAATATCCTCACTGTTGGGTTCTCAACCCCTCTCAGTCATTTTAGGACACAATAGTATAGGGCAGGGATCTCACCCCACATATCTTCCCTCATTTAGGGTTGACACTTATAAAAACGATTCACATTGTTTAATCAATTAGAAACATGACTGAGGATGTGATTTGTACTAAGTAAAGTGAGGAAAATCAGTCATAATACCCCTAAGGTTTCTACAAGTCGGCACGAGGCCCCAAACATGGCAACTAGCCCAAATCATGATGATAAACAAATCAGATTAATCAAATGCTCAGTAAAATAT